AAACCAAAAAAAAAAAAAAAAAAAAAAAGCAATATCCACGCATGTTCCTGAAGAATCTCAACAATACCAAACCCACGGCGCTGGTGCTCTTAGTCATTTTTCTTGTTCCCGAACAATTTTGCAGAAATACCGTGTCTCCTTTCGCGCATAGAAGATTTAAATCTCAATACCATTGAGTCTACCTCTTGCTCCTTTTTGTCGTACACCAGAAAGGCCGTGAAGCCAATGGGAACCCCTGGTGAACATAGGAGCAAAACAAATGTAGAATATCATAACTCCGGTTGCAACAAGACGCTCTTTTCCAGTTTTCTACCTCTCTGGTTCCAATTTCAAAGGAAGGATAAGAAGACATTTTCTTTATAGATCCATGAAAGTTCATGTGGGTGAAAGTGAATGTGTGAGAGAAAGAGAGAATACCTATAACAAATAAGCTGCGAAGTGATAGAGCTCCCGCAAAACTTAAAACTAGTAGAATTAGTACCACCTATTTCATTTATAAGATAAAAATGAGCGTTAGAGTGATGATGGTTACATGGGATGGGACATCGGATTACTGGAATTGCAAGAAAGAAAAAGTTTTAAAAAAAATACCTTTAGAAACAAGCTCCAGTCATTCCCTTGGCAGAGAGACTTCAGTGTTTTAACAGGTTCGTTCCATAAAGAAATCACTGACAAAGACAGTTGGCGGGACGATTCCTCGGAGAGGTGGAACTGCGATGGATGGATTTTTTCGATTTTGTAACCGAATCTGCAAAAACGAAACTCGTTTGTTAATAATCTCACTAAACAGCTGGATACCATAAAGGGTTTATTTGTTCCTGAAACAATTAAAGTACATATATAATAACACCGTTTCAAGAAAGTTTAAATAGAGAGATGGTTGTAACATCAGTAAAACGAATCATGTGTTTCGTAAAAGTCACTGTGTTTTAGAGAAAAGAATGCACTTATCGATAACAAGATCCCTTCTGGATCTGACTATCGGCAAAAGAACAAGCAGCTCAAAATTGTTCATACCGCATTACAAAAGAAGAAATTGAGCGTATAAAGAATCTTACATTTTCTCCGGCAAAAGGCCATGGATGAACAAGAATATCGATGCCGCCAACAGAACCTTCGCAAGAGCAGTTATGATGGAAGATCCGGTCGCAACAAAGTTATAATAGATAGCAAACAGAATGAGTATGGCAAAGAGACTCTGCTTCTTATCCTTCCACAGAAGTGTATCAGCAACTGCAAGACCATGCCACAAATCAGGATTCTCATATCATATCCATAGTAATTAACAAATCAGGATTAGGCAGATGACTCAAAGGTTAAAAACAATTATCAAGCTTTACTAATATCCTCAAGCATATCTTCAGACGGAAATCAATCTTAGAAACCTAATGTTATCATTTTGGGAGAGCCGTGCAATTCCCTCAACATTTTTTTCTACTGTTTTGAGGTTATACAGTAACACTGGATGCATGGTATTCGCAAAGCTGGCTTCAGAAAAATCAATAAATCATTCATGACTTAAAAAATGTAAGAAAATATCTTCTTATGCTTTCTAAAAGGTTAAGAGTATGGATTCTATATAGGGAAACAAAAGCAGCTGGGAAGTAAAAGAAGCGTATGAAATTGAAAAAATACTGCTCATACCTTTTCCATCTCCAAGAAATCTAGAAGCTTTGGATGAACCCTCTCGATTGGGTTTATTTTCAACTCTCAAATGCGAGAAAGAGTTTATTGTCCTCCGAATACCTTCCTGCAGGAATCATTACATCAAGATTTAGAAAAACAGTAAAGGATTGCAATATCTCACATGCCGCTCCCCCCAATTTCTTTCATAATTTTACTGCACATCGTCCAGTACATTGTGATGTCTATTCATGCGCTCCATTCAATAAGCATCTATATATGCTTACTATATTTCGCCTTTCAAGTTGGTGAATACCTGTTGACAACCCAGACACGGCAGCCATGAAATACCGAAACAATAAATACATCTCTGTTTTAAATTAAAGATATACAACCTGAAGTGGCACCACTGGAGAATAGCCCAGCCGATCCTTTGCTTTTGAACAATCGAAAGTTCTGCTGCGAGAGAGCAGCCTAACTCTTGAAGGTGTTAGTTGTGGTACTTTCATTCCATATGGTCCCAGCAATTTATATATCACTTCAACCAGATGAGCAATTGGCATCATGACGACTGCAGGGATCTTTATTCTTGGCCTGCAAAATACAATAAAATAGGAAGACTAACAAAGCGCATGAGTTTCTTATGGCTTAATTCATTATGTTCTTCCATTGATAAAAAGTAGCGGATAAATTTATGCAAAAGTATGAGAATTTTCCAATAAAGAGAAATGATTTAGAAACAAACAAGATAGCAAAACTTGAAATGCATTCTCAATTTCTCATTAAATTGAAAGAACACGTCGAGAATGAAAAATTATTTTTTAGGTTTCCCTCTTTATATTTCTGATGCCCTTCTGATATCTGAGATCACAACAAAATATCATGGGCGTCACTTCTTGCTTGCTGTTGAAACAGTATCATCTTCCTTACAAGTTTTTTTTTTGGTTGAATTCCTTACAAGTTTTTGCTTCTCACTAAACACATATATCACAATATCACAAACAAAACCTACGTGCAAAGTGACTTAAGTATAAACAAATAATATTTCAGAGAAGAATGTCCAGTTTAACTAATTCAACATGCAAGGCAAAACAAAATCACGTCACAGGCATGCTTTTAGTTGATATTCATTGGGTAGGAAACGAAATCTCAAAGAAGCAAAAGAAACGATCCGTGCCAATAGCCCTATGAACACACTCTTTTTGCATATACCACAATAAACTTTTTGCATATACCACAATAAAAACACGGAAATAACAATACCTCTCATAGCCAAGTCCTTCAAGAATCTGCGACATAAACTCCCAAAACTTAATTGGCTCCATGTTGGTGATGAAATATGCCTGCACAAACAGTGAATGCAAAGTCAAAAAACAGCCCCAAATGTCCCTCGGCATCATGATTACCACATCCAAACACTGTTTTCTTTAATTAAATTAGAAGGGACTAATTATTTTTAATCAAAAGAGACCATACTTTAACCAAAAGTATAAACAACTTTCCTTCAGGGTAATCGACATGTCTCATATTAAATTTATATGATATTTCACACCATAATTTTCCAACTAAAACAGACAAGGCTTGAGAGCAGTCCATATACGATCAAATTCTGTACAATCCTGCAACAGTTTTCATGCTGTGTTTCATAATTTTCTGTTGCATTCAAAATGCCGTGCAGTCATTCCTTGCCATATCAAAGGATCTGAGGCTTCCTTCTATTCAACAAAAGGAGAGAAAAGGGGTAAGTTGGACGCAAGAGTGGCTTTCTTGAAATTTTTGGTCAATATGTCTAAACAGAATGTGAACCTAACCACATCTTTTAGTTATGCATTTCGCCACAGCAATTCAATGCAGACAACAAATTACGTCTGCAGAAAAGAAATCAGTAGACTTATACAACAAAACGTTGGTGAGGCCAAACAATGAAGCACCTTGGACAACTACACATGGAATCAACTTAATCACATACCTGGCCTGCAGCTTTCTCAGAAACTTCTCCTCCTGATGCTAGAGCTCGTTCAGCACATACATGGGCATGCACTACATTTTCGACGTAGGTAAAATCATAGAAGTTATTTCCATCACCGATAATGAACTGCACAATACAGAAGCAGGAAACAATCATAAAACACATTTTTTTCCTCAACGACTATTTAAGTTATTGAATTTTTTTTATATAAAAAAGGCAAGGCTAAAGATACAACACATTGTGACCGTGAAATTGTCATAGGACAATGCCTTAAAATTCTCATAAAAGAGATCCTTTATTAAATAAAGCAACTTACGGAATAAGCACACCATTTTCAATAGAGACAAGTGAAAATAAATCACCAAACCAGAAAATAAATTCAATTATGATGTATAGTGCTCCATTAGGAATTGCTGATTGCGTGATGCAAAATGGAACCTGTTCCACAAACTGCTTCTTAATAGCAATGTTGTTCTCTTCATCTGCTTTGACAGTAAGCTATAGGCTATTTTGAAAAGAACTGCTACATCTGTGCCATTTAGTTATTGGTTCCAAAAATATACATTCATATACATATTTCGCATTTGAGATCTTGTCTCTGCCAAATAGGAAAACCAGTGGTTCACATCTGTAGCTTAAAGCATCAAATAGACAAAATCTGGATAGCTGAAGCTTAATACATAAATTTTATTTTCCCTCTCCCATCTGCTAGCCAAGGCTACCAACTCCTTCAAGGTATTATGTTGCTATCAACTAAACCAAGCTAATACTTGTCAGGACTCAGGACGGGTCTATTATTCCCTAAATTTTCTCTAAATGGAAAAAGAACTAAAAACAACCATCTATATTTGGCTAAAGTAGTTCGTCATCCTCTGAAACTTGACTTTTTTTCCAAATCCATGTTGTCCAAAAGATAAGAAACTAGTCGAGATTTTTTACCGCAATATTTTTCACTTTCTCACTTTTTCATATGAAGCAAACTGGGTTATCCAGAAAACCAATAAGTTCAACATGCAAATAAAGCTTAGAGTACCATCTTGAAAATGTCAAAGCTTTACCTGTAGCCTAGACAGGGTAACAAATACATGAACAAAAGCATCTATCCATAACCGATTGGCAAATCAGCATGAATGCCAAGACAATCAGGTGAAGAGAAACAAGAGCATGGAAAGATTTAAGGAACATAAATAGGAGAATAGACAGAGAAAGAAGATTATCCAACCTTGGATTTTCCAGCCCTGGCAGCAGCTACAAGCGATGGAACCATCAATCTATCACCAGGACCGAAAATGCTGCTAGGACGTATGCTACAAGTGAGAAGTCCATTTGTGCCGTTCGCCTTCATGACCAATGCCTCTCCTTCAGCTTTGGTTGCAGAGTAAGAATCATTATGCTGAAAGGATGAAAAAATTATTCACTTTCTGCTTCTTAAAGAAAGTTAAAATTAAAATGAAGAAAATCTAGTAAGCGAAGATCAGAACCAAGCATCCAAGCAGACAACTCACATATCTGTAATCATCTAGACGAACCAGTGGGAAGAACGAGAGTTTAGATACTGTTAGTTCCTACCTATGAAATAGGGAAACAGACACTGAACACATAAATGTTGTAGCATTATCAAAGCTACCACTAGAAAACAACCAAAAGCACATGCCAGGAGCTAACACTAATCTTCATTCACAAAAGAAACATCCGAGCAATCAATCGATCCGACAACCAAGGCTAATACCTTGGGTGGATATGGCATTGATTCATCAGCATTCAAAACTCCATGAACCCCATCAAACACGACGC